ACCAGGGGTATGGGCATAAAAGAGTTCATTTATACATTTTATTGTTAATATGCATTTGCTGTTTCCAGTTTTTAGCTATTATAAATAGCATTGCTGTGAACATTCTAGTACAAGTCTTATGATGGACATAAGCCCTCATTCCTCCTGGGTAAATACCCAGAGATGGAATTTCAGGGTCAAAGGGCAGGCATATTTTAGCTTTAATAGATACTACCCAATGGTTTTAGGAGCTCTGGTAGCGTAGTGCCTAAGGCACTTGACTGCTAACCAGAAGGCTGGTGGTTCAAACCCACCAGCCACTCCTCAGAAGGAAGGTTGGGCAATCTACTACCGTAGTGATACAGCCTCGGAAACCCAAGGAGGGGTTGCTGTGAGTAGGGTCTGACTTGATGGCACATAACAACAGCAACCCAACAGTTTGCAAAAGTCATACATACTGTATGATTGCATTTATATAAAGTTCAAAAACAGGCAAATTGAATCCATGGTGTTAGAAATAAAGATAGTGGCTATTCCACTGGGACTATGGCCCCTAGTTGCCCTTCAGGTCTGGAATTGAACCCACAACTGTGGTTTCCAGCCAAACAAAGTACAGGCATGTGAGTTAAACATTTACCTCAAGTAGACACACGCCCTGGAGAGAACAATCATGGGAGAAGGAAGGGCTGCTTATGCACAGGGAGATAGCTCAGGGTGCAGAAGAGTATGAAGGGATGGACACTGGGAGGAGGTAACTATGGGGAGGAAGTGGGAGGGGAGCTGCTGCATTGTAAATTTTGGTCAATGACATGAGACAAAGTATATGTGAACTGCTGTATGAAAAGTGAATTTACTCTGTAAATCTTCACCAAAATCCTAATAATAAAAAAAAAAAGATAGTGGTTATTCTTGGCAGGCTGTAATGGGAGAGGGCATGAGGGGGAACTGGTAATGGTCTTTTTCCTAATATGGGTGCTGATTACATGGGTGTGTTCACTTTTTGAAAAGTCATTGAGCTGTACACTTATAGTGTGTGTGCTTTTTCTATGTTATGTTATACTTCAATTAAAAGTTTATTTTAGCAAAGGGGAAAGGGAGAGTCTTTTCTTAAGGGCCATTGAGCTTCTGTGAAGGTTGATGAAAAAATTTGGTACCAGACAGTGGTGATAGTGTTTGTACATCGTTGTCTTGGTTCTCTAGTGCTGCTATAATAGGAGTACCACAAGTGGATGGATTTAACGAACAGGAATTTATTTTCTTAAAGTTTGTTGTTGTTGTTGTTATGTGCCATCGAGTCGGCCCCGACTCATAGCGACCCCTCCTTGGGTTTCCGAGGCAGTATCACTACGGAAGTAGGATTGCCCAACCTTCCTTCCGAGGAGTGGCTGGTGGGTTTGAACCACCAGCCGTCTGGTTAGCAGGCAAGTGTCTTAGCCACTATGCTACCAGAGTTTAGGAGGTCCAAATTCAGAGTGCTGGCTCTAGGGGTTGGGTGAAAGCCCTTCAACCTTGGGCTTCAGCTCTGCCTCTTATTCCAGGCCCACCGGAGCAAGAGGCATCTTCTTACTGAGGCAGCTGCTGGCTGCTGAGGCTGATGAACCCAATGTCAGCAGGTAAAATGGCACAGTCCCAAGAGCAGCAGGTAACATAAACGCACTGCTGTCAAGTCGAATCCGACTCATAGCGACCCCTCCTTGGGTTTCTGAGGCTGTATCACTATGGTAGTAGATTGCCCAACCTTCCTTCTGAGGAGTGGCTGGTGGGTTTGAACCATGAGCCTTCTGGTTAGCAGTCAAATGCCTTAGGCACTAGTTCAAGTCCAGGAACAATCCTAAAATCGTCAGCCAACATGTCAGGCCACTGAGATGAAGATTTGGCCAAAGACAGGATCCAGATGTCCCAAAAGCTAGCTGCCTTCCTCACAGCTTCTCCATATATACTGAAAGCAGGCCACATCCCAAAGGCAACTAATTAGCTGCTCACAGCAGATTTCACCATGGAGTTGATTCCAGTTTCATCATGGGAAATAACTGCATCCTGCTGCCCGGACACTCAAAACTACAGCCTAGCCAAGTTGACACACAATCTTAACTACCACAATAACGCAACAATGCAACACACTGCCATCAAGTTAGATCTGACTCATAGCAACCCCTCCTTGGGTTTCCAAGGCAGTATCATTACGGAAGTAGATTATCCAATATTCCTTCTGAGAACTACAACAGTGAACATAATTGATGTCACTGAACTGTACAAGTAAAAATGGTTGAATGGCAAATGTTTGGCTATGTATAGTTCCCCACAGTAAAATGGGATTTAAAATTTATAATAAAAATCCTGGGGTGCCTCAGACCAGTGGGGTGGACATGACTAACCTATGGACATGACTAACCCTATAAGAATACTTGAATCCGAAGACATATGTCCCCTTTCAGGTACACAGAAGCAAATGAAGACTTCCAAGTCAAATGTCCCCAGACTTCCCAGTAGCCACCTCACACAGCCACCTGTGGTCATCTGCTCACCCTCTCTTCCCTAGACATCCCCAAACATCGAGCTGGTTTTGGCTTCCCCTCTTCTTGTCCCAACTGATATTTCCCACTCGGCAGAAATGTGGATTTAACTGATATTTCCCACTCGGCAGAAATGTGAAAAAACAAGTGCTCGCCTACAGCATGCCAAGCACTCTGCTGATCACTGTGGGCACACCCCAAAGGATGAATGACAGCCCAGGAGTGAATGACACAGTCAGAGCCTCAAGGAGCAAGAAGGGACACAAAGTGCTTGAGCATCAAGTCGTTTGTGTGAAATGTCATGTAATTTGCAATGCCTGGCTGACTCCTGCAGACAGTCTCCCAGAACAAGCCTCACCAGTGTTTCGATCCTCTGTGTTCTACAGCAGCAGTTTGGGTTGCAAGAAAGAGTCTTACTCAAGGTGTGTCACAAGATAGAAGTTTATTGGAAGGACAACCTGGACAGACTCCCAGGAAGAGTTCAACCATCAGGCATGACAAGGAATGGAGCCTGGAACAAGGGAGGGCCCAGCCTTGGCTATTCTAAGCTTGCCTGTCCTCCAATGTCTTCCCAGCCTGTTAGCTCCTATGCAAACTCCTCACTGCTCTCCCATCCCAAATCCCAGAGTGGCAGCTCATTGCTCCTCCCTCCATTCCCCCCAGTCTACAATGGGCAGTCACTAGCCTACCCGAGGACTGACTCCCTTCTGTCCCTCATTTCCTGAAAGCACTTTATTCCTTCTTGCTAACCTTTGTTCCCTTTAACAGCCCGTGGCCTGCCAGTCTCCAGGAAAGACCCAGGAGCTCACTAGATCATGAAGAGGGATTCAGGTGGACCAGAAAAGAAACAAGACTTCTAATGGCATAGGTGTCTGCTCCCCAGGACTGAAAGGCCTGTAAGGCAGGGCCCAGCCCCTGGGGTGGAGGGGTTGTTGTCAGCTGCTGTCAAGTTGGCCCCCAGCTCATGGCAACGCCATGCACCATAGAATGAAATGCCTTCTGGTACTGCACCAGCCCCATGATGGGTTGTAGATTGCTGCAGACTATTTGTAATCCATAGATTTTCACTGGCTGATTTTCGGAAGTAGATGGCCAACCCTTTCTTCCTAGTCCATCTTAGTCTGGAAGATCCACTGAAAGCTGTTCAGCATCTGGGCAACATGCAAGCTTCCACTGACAGATGGGTGGTAGCTGGGCATGAGGTCCTTTGACTGGGAACTGAACCTGGATCTCCTGAGCAGGCAACCTACTGTCTGGTGTGCCTTCTTGCTCCCAAACCCACTGTCCTGGAGTGGATTCAGACTCACAGTGACCCTATAGGTTTGAGTAGGACTGCTCCATAGGGGTTCCAAGGCTATAATCTTTATGGAAGCATACTGCCACATCTTTCTCCCATAGAGCAGCTGGTAGGTTCAAACCACTGACCTATTGGCTAGTAGCCAAACACTTAACCACTGTGCCACCAGAGCCCCTTACCCTCTCCCTACGGGCCACCAAGCCTTCTTTATTTATTCAGATTTATTGCATAAGATGGACTGGACTGCCTCCTCCAGGAAGCCCACGACTTCATCAGAATGATCAGGGGATGCTAGCAGATGGGCACTGCAACAGAGTGTAACCTGCTGGTGGCATTTCCATCAATGTCAGTCCTAAGGATGATTCTTCAGTTGGGAGTCCTTTGGAAATAGAATTTCCAAATGTAGTCTGGACTTAGAATAAAGACTGCATTTCCCACTTTCCCTTGCAGCTTGGAATGACCATGTGACTAAACCCCAGCCAATGGTAAGTGAGTGGAAATGATGTATGCCTTCTGGGTTGTGCTCACAAAGGGAATGTGTGTGTTCTACTCCACTCTTCCTCTTCTCGCTGGTAGGAATATGGACACAGTAGAGCCGTCATGAATCGTCATGAATCTTCATAATCAAAGGTTTGTAACACTTTAGGGATAGAGGAAAATAAGATAGAAGGGTCCTGAGCCCCGACACTTTGAACCCTCATAATTTATCCAGACTAATATGGGGGAGAAAAATAAAATTCTACTATGTTGAAGTCACTGTACTTGGTCTCTTGTAGAACAACCTAACTTATAATCTAATATACAGTCCACTGACCAATCTATGAGGATGCAGAAAACTCCTCCTCTAATCCATCCAAAAGGTTCTGCTTGGGCTTTGAGGAGAAAGAAGTGAAGTGGCAGTGCATTGGAGGAACAATGGAGAAGAGAGATGAAATTCAGAGAAAAGAGGAAGAGAAAGGAGAAATGGACAACATGATTAATTCATTTCTATTCAGAGTTCCCAAAATAATCTCCTGCCTAGTTTGGGGTTCAGCCCACCTCTCACCACCCATTTTTCTTGGGAGCAAGAGGCTTGGAGCCAGATCATAGGGAGGCAGATGTCCCAGAGCTGCTTGCATTGAGATTGGTGGGACTGAACCTTGCGTGGCTCACAGGGCCCGAGTCCTCACAGATTCTAGTGCCCTTCTCCAGATGGTAAGCAGTGCCACCAGTCAGCTCAGGGTCGGAGCACAGCGCAAGGTCCCAACTGTGGCTGTGGCAGGATCAATGGGCTTTCCACAGAGAAAACACTGGTCACAAGAGGATCCTGGGTACAGTCATCATCTGACCCTTAACTCTGGACAAGGGCAGCCCCCCTGTCCCACCAGCCCTAGGGCTCAGCCCAAGGGGTTTCGTGAGCATGTGGGTGGCTGGACATGGAGCTTACAGCCTTGGCCACCAAATGGATTGTCCAAAGAAGGGGACACATCACCCCAGCCCGAGTGACTGGCAGCTCAGGAGTGAGTGAAAGAGACCTCAAAAAGAGGTAAAGGAATCAGAAAATATGTGTTGGAATTAGAGGTGATGCTGCTAAGTCCAGAAAGTCTGCCCCAGGCAGCCATCCAGTCACCTGGAAAACATTTGGCTGCTCTGGCCCAATCAGAATATAGCTACCTGGCCTTCTCAGGGGATATGGCTCCCTATACTCTCTCACCAGCTTCCCCCAACTCCAGGCACCATCCTACAAATGACAGCTGCCTCCAGATGCCAGCTCGGCACTGTGGCTTAGCCGACTATTTATTTGCCTGTGCGTGTGCACGTGTGTGTTGAATGGATACCTGTGTGGTCTCATTCTGAAAAGTCATCTCCACCGAATTCTGGCCTGAGCTCCGCTTATGAAAGAGCCTCCTTCTGCAGAGAGAGAGTTGCACTCAGAGTCTCTCCCCTTCCTCAACTGCCTCTCCCTCCTCCTTCCATCCCCACACATTTGCCCCAGACTGCTTGTTGTGCAGAGCAGTGGGGAGTTACATGAATAGGGGGGTACTTTATCTTTCTTCCTTCCCAGCCCATTCTTCAGTACAGACTGGATAAAGAGAAGAAAAGAAGAAAACTTCAGCAAGATGGATTTAGGGGCAATTCTAGACAGGATTCCCAAATTCCGAGGGGAAACAAGCTAGGGAGTGGTGGAGCCCATGGATCGGGAAGGAGGGAGGACCTTTTAGAGGACCTGGAGGCATGTTGGGGGAAAGGAGGAAAGGAGGGGCCGTCTATCTCCTCAGCGCCAGACCCACCTCCAGGAGTAGCAGGCCCCCAGGCCCAACAGCAGGAGGAGGATGCCAGCCAGTCCCCCCAGGACCCAGAGGAGCTGCTGGAACAGCTGGAGGCGGTGTAGAACTGGAACACAGGGTGGAGCTTAGGGTCAGGCACACATCTGGCCCTCCCATGCCTCCTCCTACATCCCTGAAAATGAAACCTATGCTAATTCTCACATCATCAATCGTCCCCCCACCTCACACAAAGGAATCTGGTCTAGACAGACAAAGTGTATTGCAGCAGAAGGCTATCAGGGAAGACTTCAAAAGAAAGCCTTTAGATCTAAGAGCTGGGTCTTTATGCAGAATGGCCCCCACCTTACCTCTAGCCCCAAAGTAGGTGGAGGCTGAGGTGGAGCCCAGGGCATTGGAGGCAGTGCACACGTATTCCCCCTCATCAAAGGGCCTTAGTGCCTTCATGTCCACCCGTAGGGCATTGGGAGAGGCTGAGACGTGGATGTGGGGCTCAGCAGGAATGCCTCGGACCTGGCTGGATGCCACCAATCGACTGCCAAGGTGAAGGGTCAGGCTGGCACGTGGCTCGCTGTCCACTCTGCAGTCCAGGATGCCCTGGAGGCCACTCTCGGGCTCCACAAAGACTGTCAAGGTGGGTGTCTCAGGAGGGTCTGTGGGAGAAAAGGGAGAGTAGTGATTGCAATAAACAAGCACAATCGTGACTCGCTTTGATCAACAGAAGCAGAAATGTGCATGCGACTTCAGAGCTAGACCTCAAGAGGTCTTGCAGCTTCTGCTTATTCTTTCTTGGAACACGACCACGCAGGAAGCCCAGGCTAACCTGCTGAAGACGTGTAACCCAAGCAACAGACAGCCCCAACCACACCCATGAGCATGAAACCATCTTAGACCATCTAGTCTCAGTTGAGCCAGTGGACTGCTGCAGACACATGAGGTGGGACTAGCAAAAGAACTGCCCAGAGAAACTCACTACTGTCGAGTTGAATCCAACTCATAGCAACCCCTACTTGAGTTTCCAAGGCAGTATCTCTATGGAAGCAGATTGCTCAGTCTTCCTTCTGAGGAGTGGCTGGTGGGTTTGAACTGCCAGCCTTCTGATTAGCAGTCAAATGCCTTAGGCACTACACCACCAGAGCTCCCAGAGGAGTCCATCCCAGAGGAGTCCAGCCAAATTTCTCACCCACAGAATTGTGAGCGAATAGAGTGGCTGTTGTTTGAAGCACTGTGTTTTGAGGTGGTTTGTTACATAACAGTAGCTGACTGATACAATATGGGGCCCTGGTGAAGAATGGAGTGAGGAACTGAGGCTGAGGAGGGCCTGCTGTGTGCCAGGCAAGCTGTGTGCTTTATCTTCTGTATTCTTCACAAGGGGACTGACACAGTCTCCATTTTACAGATGAGGAAACTGACGCACAGATGCACAAGATGACATGCCAGTAGTGGCAGAACTGGGGTTCCACACAGGCCTGCATAATTGTGAAGTCCTTGTTCTTTGCGGAGGGAAGAGGAGGAGGATCTGAGGTGGGTATATGAGGACAGGGCAGGGGTTCACACTTACAGAGCACACGGAGCATAACTGGAGCAGAGGTGGCAGCCCCAGAGAGGAGTTCGGCCTGACAGTGGTACATCCCAGCCTGGGTACGGGCCACAGAGGTGAAAAAAAGCGTGGGCACAGGGTCCACAAGTAGTCGCCGGCCATTCCAGAACCAAGTGAAGGTGGTGTTGCCCAGGGGTCCGTGGCCATCCGGGAGGCAGCAACTCAGGTTCACTGCTGTGCCCTCAGGAAGGTCCAGGCCTGGCTTTGCCACCACATGCACACCTGCAGGCCAAGATGGGAGGTGGCTAGGAGTCTGTAGGCCTGTGGGAGCTGGGTTTCTGGGTCAATCTGGGCTCTGAAGTGGCCTCTGTCCATTGTGGGAAGGTCTGAATCTGACTGGGCTCTGCGCCCTCCAGGGTGGGACCATGTCTCCTCTGAGAACAGATCTGGTTCTCGTCCTTGAGCTAGGTGCTCCCGGGCAGGGCTGTGCCATCTTCAGGAGACCAGGCTTGCTGGTGGATGAGGCTGCATCTTGCCTTCAGCAAGGTGGGACTGCACCTCCTCCCTCAGACAGGGCTCCCTGAGGGTGAAGTCTGTCTCTCTATCCCCACCCGACTTCCCCAGGGTAGATCTGGGTCTCCACCCCTAGCTGGAGTTTTGTGAGGGCAGTTTCCCTCTCCCCACATCTCCAAACTCCCTTCCCAGGGCCATGGCAAGGCTATATCTTCCGCCTCAGATTGGGCAGCCTCCTCCAATGGGAACTGGGCCTCCTTTGTCTGATTAGGCATCTTGAGGCAGGGCTCTATCTTATCTCTAGGGTGGGAGCCTCAACCCTCCCATGGACTACAACCCCACAGTACATGAGCCCCACAGCACATGACCCCATGCATTGAGCCCACACATCTGGCCCCTCCCCTAACTACTCACCTTCAGCCCGAAGCTGCCCAGTGGTGCTGACTGAGCCCAGTGAGTTACGGGCTGTGCAGACATAGATGCCCTCATCCCCTGCTGGCACCTCTTGCACCTGCAGCCTCAGGGCGTTGCGGGCCACCTGGACAGGGCCTGTCCCTGATGCCAAGCCATGGGCCCCCTGGCTGGTGGCCAGCACCTGGCCATCATGGGACAGGGTCAGCTCAGCAGACGGCTCACTGTCCACAGTGCACTGCACCACAGTCGCGGGGCTGGTCCGCGAGTCCCGGAAAAAGGACAGGACAGCATCACGGGGAGCATCTAGAGAAGGGTGCGGAACAGTTGGGGGCCTTCCTGGGCACCTTTGGGTTGCATAACTGAGCCCTGTCCACAGCCAACATGCCTGAAGCCTCTGGACCAATGATTACCTCTAAGAAGTGACACCTCAGGAGTGCTGTGAGCAGGTTTGTCTGAGCAGGATTCACCTTCCTCATCCCACCAGAAGCCCCAAGTCTCTTCACATCACCTATGTCCTTTCCCCAGGTACCTGCTCCCAGGCCCATTGCAGTCCATGCTCCCCAACCAGGGCCTGGAAGCACTCTCTATCCACCCCATCCTGGGCACCCCCCGCCAAGGTTCCCCTGCTCACAGAGAACTTGCAGGGCAGCAGGCCGGGAGCTGCGTGTGCCCTGAACATCTTGGGCCTGGCAGGAGTAAGCACCCACGTGAGCCCGCGTAGCAACTGGGAATGAGAGGGAGGCAGCTGGCCCCTCCTGCAGCCAATGGCCATTGTGGTACCAAGCATAGAGGGTGGGTGGGTGGGCAGCAGGATCCTCACAGGTCACCATCACGGGGGCCCCCTCGGGCACAGAGGCTGATGGAGCCAGGGTGACCCGCACTCCTGTTACCAAAGACATCAGGGTCAACCAGGCTCAGCAAGATGCCACAGCTGGTCCCCACCCAGTGGGCTTGGCCTGGACCTGGCCTCACCCTCTAGCTGTAGCTCCAGGGATGTGTTGGCCTGGCCCAGAGGGCTGTGGGCAGAACAGCTGTAGAGGCCCTCATCTCTGGGCTTGGGCTCCCACAGCTCCAGGCGCAGGGTGTTGGGGACAGAGTCTGTGGTCGAGGAAGCCAGGAGGCGGCCAGCATGGCTGAGGGCTAGCTGGGCAGGTGGACGACTGTCCACAGTGCACAGGAGCAGGGCTAGCTGCCCACCATGACTCTCCAGAAGGTAGGTCAGATGTAGGCCACGGGGTGCATCTGTAGGGACAAAAGAGGCACAGGAGCTGTGAGAAGGCCAGTTGTTGTTATGTGCCATCGAGTCAGACCTGACTCATAGTGGCCCCTCCTTGGGTTTCTGAGGCAGTATCACTATGGAAGTAGATTGCCCATACTTCCCAGTTAGTAGGGGACATTCAAATCCAGGAGGGCCTTGGCTATCCACCTGAAGGTTCCCCAGTTGCCCAATCTTGAGCACTGCTCCTCTGCCCAGGAAGAAGCATACCCATTGTCCCCCAACTCTCATGCTCCTTGTCCAGTGCTCTCTTGGCTGGGAAAGGCTCTGAGTTCCCAGGCTGGGCATCTATGGGCCATACCTGATTCCTGTAGGCTGCTCAGAGCAGCCTGGTAGGGTGCCAACTTATTTCTCCCAGCCCCACCCATATCCAACAGACTCACAGAGGACATCCAGGGGGACAGGTCTGGAGAGGCGGGGTGCCTGGCCAGAGGTCTCCACACCACAGCGATAGGAAGCCGCATCCGTGACTGTGACATTGGGCAAGATGATGGAGCGGGTGCCTGGGCGCTGCTTCCCATCCTGATACCATGTGTAGTTGAGCTGGACCAGGTGGGTCCATACCAGGCAGGTCAAGTTTACCAGCTGGCCCTCATGCACTGTAGCTTCAGGCCATACCTGCACACTCACAGCTGAGTGGGAAGGAAGGCATGGGGACACCCATGAGGTTATACAGAGTAGCCACCTGTCCCCATGAGTGAGGTGACTCCTACTGCTTGCAAATGGGGGTCAGGTTTGCAAAACATCTCATTATCATCTCTCAGGAGATCCTTAGTGGGGCTCTGGGAACCCTAGAGTGCCATGTGCCCCACCCTGGCCCTTGTGGAGAGAATAAGGGGAGGCATAGGCCTCCCTGCCCTGTATCCCCTGGAGTACCCCTTCTCTGATTGGTTTTATCCACTGGGCAGAGATATAGATTTCTGATTTTAATAAAGCACTTCCGTGAGACACAAGGGTAGAAACTACTGCCTGGAGGAGGGTGGGGAATGGGGACTGTCTTTATGCTCTGCCCTCCTGCCTGCACCTCAGTCTTCTGGCACTTTCTCCCACGTCCTCTCTTAAAAAGAACCACCTGCACACACATGCACACCCCCACACTGACCCTGCGCATCAAAGGCTGTCGAAGTCAAAGTCCGGCCCAGGGCATTGGTGGCCACACAGGTGTAGACACCCTCATCCTCCAGCACTGCACCATGGATTTCCAGGCGTAAAGCATTGGGGGCCACAGTCACCTGCAGCCGAGGGGAGCTGCCTGAAGGGTCTCCCAAATGCTGTGTGGTAGAGGCCACAAGGTGGTCCCCATGGAACAGCTGCAGCTGGGCTGGAGGGTCACTGTCCACATGGCACAGAAGGAGGCCCAGTCGCCCAGGGCCCGTGTCCATCAGGATAGTGAGCATGGCCTGGCGGGGTGCATCTACACAGGGTGGGGAATGGTCAGGGTCCAACCAGGGGGTCCCTCATCTGGGGCTCTTTCATGGAGGCAGAGCTCTAGATCAGGGACATCTCCACCCCCCACATAGACAGGATGGAATTTCTTACAGGACACGTGGAGGCTGACAGGGGTGGCCAGGCTCGTGGTGGCTGAGCCCAGGGTCTGGGCTTGGCAGTGGTAGGCTCCAGCTTGGCTTGAAGTAATGGCTGCAAAGCGGAGTGTGGCTGAGGTGGGCTCCTGGAGGAGCTGGCCATTCCGATACCAGCGAAATGAGGTCCCATCCGGGACCCCTGTGGGTACCTGGCACCTCAGAACCACTTCCTGGCCTTCCTGGAGCTCAGGTGATGGTGACACCTGGACCCAGGCTCCTGCAAGGAGAAACCAAGAATAGATGAGAGTTCTCTGCCGTACTGTCCCATATCTGGGTGTGTCTGTCCACACAAAAGCTGCATGACCCCAGCTTGGCAGGAGGTTCAACCTGGAGTCACAGCTCCCCACTGGACCACTGGTGAGAGCTCCACCCAGCTCCATGCCTCCACCTCTCCAGCTTCCAACTCCCTGGCACTGGTTCTGTCCTGGCATTTGTCACCCACTACCTTGAGCTACAATTTTACTTTGTATACCAAAGGGTGAGCCCAAGGGCCAAGCTTGTGTACCCTGTGACCCAGTGCCAGGCACCAAACCAAAAAAACCAAACCCACTGCTATCAAGTGGATTCCTACTCATAGCGACCCCCATTGGGATGCTAAGGCTGTAAATCTTTTTTTTATTATTATTTTTATTGTGATTTGGGTGAAAATTTCCAGAGCAAATTCACTTTGCGTACAGCAACTCACATACACTTTGTCTAATAACATTGACTGCAATTTCCCACAATGCAACAGCTCCCCACCACTTCCTCCTAGTTACCTCTTCCCTGCGTCCATCCCTCCATGCACTCCTGCCCCCACCCCTCGAGCTGTCTCCCTGTGGGTAAACAGCCCTTCTATTCTCCCATGATTGTTCTCTCCAAGGAGTGTATCTACCTAATGTAAATGTCCAGGTCATATGCCTGTCTTTTGTTTGGCTGGCAGCCACAGGTATGGGCTCAATTTCAGACCTAGAGGGTGGCTAGGGGCCATAGTCTCAGTGGTTCCATCCGGCTCTATCAGACCAGCAAACCTGGTTCCTTTTTAATGATTTTGAGTTTTGTTCCACGTTGTTCTCCCACTCTATCCTACACAGATCCCCCTCCAAGTCGTTGACAGTGGTAGCCGGGCACTAAGACTAAATCTTTATGAAAGTAGATCACCTCATCTTCCTCTCGCGGAGCAGCTAGTGGTTTGAACTGCTAACTGCAGCACCTACAAATTTTGGTTCAGCCCATAAAGCACTGACACAGGAGGGATTTGTTATTGTTGTTATTAGGTGCCTAACAAGCTGGCTCCAACTCATAGCCACCTTTCCACGCAGCTGACCAAAGAGGGAGTGGGAGACGCCCGCTGCCATGTGGCTGGGCATCAGCGGTGGAGCCTGTGGGCCCTGTAGCCAGGCTCTTCAAGATGCAACAAAGCCTGAGTTTCAAAGATGTGTAAAGGGCACTGCCCAGTCCTGCACCATCCTCACAATCCTTGCTGTGCTTGAGCCCATCATTGCAGCCACTGTGTCAATCCATGTCATTGGGGGTCTTTCCCTTCTTGTGACCCTCTACTTTAGGAATGATTTAGGTCATACCAAAGGCCACTGTTGCCCAAGCATGTGTTGTTCATGAAAGGGACTCAGTGTGGGTAGCTGAGGGTTTAGAAGAGGTGAGCAGTTTTGTAATCTTGGGTTCTCCAGCTCTTTCTGGTCCAGCTCTGCATGAGAGACCAGGATCTGATAACCAAGCAAAGGACAGCTCCTAGGAGCTCCCTGGATCCCAGGCAGGTAGAGAGAGGGCTGGAATGAGATGGAGGAACAGCTGGAGAACTCAGGCTGAGCCTGGGATCAGACTGAGTTACTCTGGAGCTAGCAGTGTCCCCTGCTAGTCATGTGACCATGAGCAAGCTCCTGAAACTCTCTGACCTTTGTTTTCTCTGCCTATGAAATGGGTACAATAAGTAAGAAAATATACACAAGACCAAGGACAGAACAAGGCCCAAAGTAAATGTCCAAATTTGATGTTGTTTGTCACTGTAGGAGAAAAAGTATGTGTTTTTCTTTGGCTTTTGTGTTACAGGTATTATCTTTTGTTTTTCCTGGCTGATTCACTTAGGGAAGATTTTTATAGGAATATATATGTGTGAGGGGGGTATGTATACCCACATATATGCAGATATATGTGGTTTTGTATATGAATTTTATTATGTAACAAAACCATATTATTATAAAGTGACGTTATCTGTCAAAAAGTACTCCAACTCATTGAGCCACCTGGTGCAATTGCCACTGCCTCCTAGTGACTGTTGCAGTTTTTACAGGTAAAAATACCTAACTGGAGACAATGGGAGGTGTCTCCTGCTGACTGGCTGGAAATTGTCCCCTGACCAGGGCTGAAAAGCTCATATTTCTGCACAAGATCCACACTACCCAGCTCAAAGCCTGGCCAGAGTGGCCTTCAAGGCATTAGGGGCTGTCACATCTTCAGAGGACAAGCACTCACCTCGGACCTGGAAGAAGAGGGAGGTGTTGGCTGATCCAAAAACATTTGTGGCCTCACAGCGGTAGCTGCCAGAGTCCCCAGGGCCCAGCTCTCGAACCTCCAGCTGCAGGGAATTGGCTGTGGACTTGGCCTGCAGCCGGCCATGGGATGGGAGCTGGGACCCTGGGCTAGTGGCCAGGAGGCGCTCCTCGTGGAATAGGGTCAGCTGGGCTGGGGGACGGCTGTCCACCGTGCAAACAAACACAGCCACATAGCCCTGGCCCATGTCTAGGAGGGCTGTCAGCGTTGGTGGATCTGGGGGATCTGTGGAGACATGGGAAGCTCAAGCCACCCCAGACTCACCTGCCATGATCTAGCTGTCACACAACATCCTGCTCCTCCACTCTACACAAAACAGTCCAGGCCCGCCCTTGTCTGAACCCCAGCCCTGGTCTTCTCCCCCAGACTACCCCTCAACCCTCTGAATCCCCAACTCTGCCCTTGCCCATCACCCACAGAGCACACTCAGGACCACAGGGGCAGAGAGCCGGGCCCCAGCCCCAGTGACGATGTGGCAGGCATAGCGGGCGGCATCAGTCCGGGCCACGGACAGCAGGGTCACTGTCTCCAGGGGACCCTGGCTCCACAGTACCCCATCCCGGAACCAGGAGAAGTTGGCAGGGCTGTCGGCAGCCTCTCGGCTCACAATGCAAGTCAGGTTGGCTGCCATGCCCTCCTGCAGCGTGTCCGATGGTGTGATGACCAGGACGGTGGCTGGAGAGCAGCAATACAGGCTCACTTAAGGCAAGGCCAGGGCCCAGTGACCCAGCCTCCCAGCCTGGTCAGACCCTATGTGTGGAGAAGGTGGAGAGGAGACCCTTGGGGGCACCCACAGGGTAGGGAGTCAAGCAGATAAGCTCACAGGAGAGCTGTGGGCTCCTCTAATAGGCAGTGTGACCCTTAGGTGGCCAGAACCCCTGTGGGAGACCAGGGAGCCTATGAAAAGCAGGCCCTGGGGAGCATGAGGAGGGGCACAGGTCAGAGAAGAGGGCCAATAAAGGGCAAGGAAGACAAGACAACCACGCAGAGCTCACAGAGCCCCAGGCTCTGAGCAGAGGACAGACAGCTTTGACCTCTCCCAGTGTGGAGGGAAGCAGGGAGGTACTGGGGGCTTCCATTTATCACCTCCTCCCATTGTTAAACAGAAAGTAGTTTCTACCTATTGGACCTTCTGGAGTAGAGGCTGCCCAGAAACAGGCTTGGGAGCACCAGCCCTGGGGCATGAACCACTGATAACCAGAGGCCCATTCCCTGCCAGACTCACCTTGAGCATTGAAGGTTGCCCAGGCTGAGGCATTGCCCATGGCATTGCTCGCCTCGCACAGGTATTCCCCCTCGTCCTCCAGAACCGGGTTGTGAATCTCCACACGCAGAAAGTTGGGGGCTCTAGTGACCTTTATGCGCTGGGAACAGCCCCCACATGATGGCAGGGAAGAGGCCACAAACTGGTCCCCGTGGAGCAGCTGAAGCTGGGCCGGAGGGTCACTGTCCACACGGCACAAGATGAGACCTCGACGTCCAGCCCTGGCTCCAGCAGCGTCAGGGTCCAGTCGGGCGGTGAGCATGGGCTGGCGTGGGGCATCTGTAAGGGAGGAAGAGCACAGCGCTCATCCCACACCACGGCCAGGGTTACAGCCCCCAGGTCCATCCAGGCTTAGGTTCCCAGGACACATTAGACCAAGGCACGTGCCTAGTGTGGCCACAGACAGCTGTAGAATTCAGCCCAGGTCCCTGGTGCTAAGCTATGCACAGGAATGCATCTTCCCAGAAGAAGAATCACTATTTTCTAACTGGCACAAAGGGGTTGCATGGGCTAGAAGCCACCTGGCAGAAGTCTCATCTGCTACTGAGCCAGGCACCCACAGAGTAATTCCTGAGAGTCTTGCTCTCTGCTCTGACCCTGACACTACCCCTTACCATGGAGTCTTCCTCTAAGACCTTTCCTGCCCCTTATCTCTGATTTCCAAGCCAGCTCCCATCATACTCAGATAATGCCCAGCATGCCCTTTATCTAGAGGCTTCCAGAGATGGATGGTCAAGACAGACATCAGCCAGGGCCCCCATGTAATCCCAGTCAGAAACCAGGAAACCCTTGGAGAAGCAAGTTGCTTTTCCGACAGTCCCCAGTGTCACTCTGCATGCGTCAGAGAGACTTTCTGGGTTGAAGTGCGCCCTGACATTAGTCAGCCCCTCAGGCTAATATGGAGCAGCCACCCTTGGCAGGATGCCCAGAGGGGCTGGCCTATCCCTATGTGAAGAGTCCTGCCTTGACGTCTGTGGGAGCCTGTGAGGACACAGCCTATGGGGCGTGTGCACATGTATAGGAGTTTGTGTCCCAGGAGAATAAAGCTTGGATACAGTGTCCATAGTGGATTTGAAGCTATCCCAAAAGGGGCTGGGATTGGAAGTGAGCTGTAATGAGGTAGAGGAAGGCCCACCCAGCCTGTTCCTCAAACAGCCCTAGGTGGAGAGGTTCATGATGCTCAGGCCTGTGGTTACCCTCCTGGTCTGGACCCCAGAGCAGGACAGGGTCAGGAGGGCCTGGAAAAGTTGGGGATGGCTGGTGGTTCCCTGATTTCCCCCACAACAGGCAGCAAGGGGCAAGGAGGGCAGCTCACAGAGCACAGTGAGGACAGCAGGTAAGGAGGGGCCGCTGGAGGTGTGGCCATCCTGGAACCGGCAGTGGTATGAGCCAGCGTCATCGGTGCTGGAGGCCGCGGGGAGTACAAGGCTGCTGCTAGATCCCTCAAGAAGCAGGGCTCCATTCCGGTACCAGAAGAAGCGGGTGTCAGGCCCATGGCTCAGGCCACTCCTGCAGGTCAGCCTCACTGCCTGCCCTTCCACCACCTCTGTAGCCGGACTGATGAGGATGCGGGCAGCTATGGGAGAGGGAGGAGAGAGGTTGGGGAAGCTATGAGGGTCCCATGGCTTGGCTCAGCTTCCCTGCATGCCTGTGGAGCCCTGCCACCACCTGCAAGAAGCCCCCCAGGTTCTCCTCTCCCCTCAGGACTGTAGGTATGTCAGCTCGGTGTCTTCTAGTCAATCAGGAGGGTTTGGCCTTGAATGCCAGCTCAGATCTATTGGTAGCAGCTGGCTGCAGTAAGGTTGCCTATGTCAAAAACCTGCCTGGAAAACATGGAGAAATTAGAAGCCTTATCTATTGCTGGTGGGGTTGTAAAATGGTGTAGCTGCTGTGGAAAAGAGTTCGGCAGTTCCTCAAAGAATTTAAACACAGAACTGCCACATGACCCAGCAATTCCGCTCCTGGGTGTTTACCCAAAGTAATTGAAAGCAGGGACTCAAACAGATCCTTGTATGCCAGTGCTCATTGCAGCCTTGCTCACAACAGCAAAAATGGAGAGACACCAAGTGTCCATCAACATATGAATGGATAAACAAAAAAGGTGGTACATCCACACAATGGGATATATTTCAGCCATAAAGAGAAGTGAAGTGCTGATGCAACAAGGATCAACCCGAAATACATCATGCTGAGTGGAATAAGCCGGACACAAAAGAACAGATATTATAGGATCTCACTGAAATATCTAGAACAGGTAAATGTATAGAAACAGGAAGTAGATTAGAAGTTTCCAGGGGTTAAGGATTGAGGGGAGTGGGGGATCATTGCCCAAAGGTTATAGAATTTCTCTTTGAGGTGATGAAAAACTTGTGGAAACAAATAGTGGTAATGATTGCACAACACTGTGAATGTAATTAACACCTTTGAATTGTACACTTAAACATGGTTCAAATGCCAAATTTATGTTATGTATATTTTACCACAATAAAATAAATTAAAAACCTGACTCGGTCCATTAGCTGGGACTGCGATGGCCTCAGGAGGAGGGAAGGGTAGCACACGTGCCAAGAACTACCAGAAACCCACTGCCACCAAGTTGATTCTGACTCATAGTGACCCCCATTGGGTTTCTGAGGCAGTAAATCTTTACAGAAATAGATTGCCTGGTCTTCCTTCCGGAGAGTGGCTGGTGGGTTTGAACTGCCAACCTTCTGGTTAGCAGTCAAATGCCTTAGGCACTGTGCTACTAGAGCTCCCTAGAAAACCCTAATTCTCCATTTTATCTCCTGCATCTAACTCCTAGCACAGAGCCTACCCCGAAAGTTTAATAAAAAATAAATGAATGCATATGAAGGACTCCCCAAGTTCAGAATATACAAAAGGAGTAATTCAACCTGTCTTATTTCCCTTTTTGCCTTGACTTCCAGGAACCTCTGAGGCTGGGATGACATACAAGCCCAAGTCTTTGATGTAATTGGTTCAGCCCCTCTATCGAGCCCTCTGGACTCAGAAGGAAGGACCAGAGCAGGCTTCCTCCTTGGTCTCCCTCAGCCAGCCCTCCTGTGCTCTCTTACCATAAGCGTGGAAGTCCAGGGTAGAGGACGCATTTCCAAGAGAATTGGTGGCCAGGCACTTGTATTCCCCACTGTCAGTTGGCTCCAGGTCTCGAATCTCCAGGCGCAGAGAGTTGGGAGCAGAGGAGACACTGAAGCGTGGACTGTGCTCACCGTCCCCAGAAGTGGAGGCCAGGATGAGGCTCCCACGTGACAGTACCAGGGCGGCCAGGGGTTCACTGACCACGGAGCAGTGGACGATGCCCACGAGCCCCATCTGTGTCTCGAGGAAAGTAGTCAGGTCCGGGGTGAGGGGTGGGTCTGTGTGGAGATAAGAGCCGGGCCTGTTACCCTCAGATGGGGGACTCTCCAGATTCCCCCTTTTAGTCTAGGGCCCCTGTATCCCCTTTGTCCCATAATGCCCAGAGAGAGAGGGGCAACCCCAACAGCTGAGTGCCTGTAGAGTACCACTGTATGCACCTGGCAAACCACTTTTATTCCAGTCAATCCTGTGACAACCCTGTAAGTGGGTACCAGGAACCTACTTTAATGATGAGAAAACTAGTGGAGAGATCCAGCTGACAGCATTTTAACCAGGTGACCAAGTGAACACTATCGATGACAGGACAACCAACAAATCGACATTGTGCACCTCCTGGTATGATGCACCAAGGCAGACGCAATCAGCACAGCATGAAGTGCATAGTCTCAATCTATTCTATCCCAACAAACACTAATTGAGGGGCATTTACTAAGTAACCACCCTGTAACCAAAAAACCCAAACCTACTGCCATTGAGTCAATTCCAACTTATAGCAACCCTACAGGACCAAGTAGAAGTGCTCCCAGAGCGTTTCCAAGGCTGTCAATCTTTACAGAAACATACTGCCTCATCTTTCTCCTGAAGAGCAGCTGATGAGTTTGAATCATGGACCCTTGGTTAGCAGTCCAATGCTTTAACCACTACACCACCAAACCTAAAAAACCAAACCCACTGCCATCGAGTTGATTCCGACTCATAGTGACCCACTTTGGGTTTCCCTGGCAGTAAATCTTTATGAAACTAGATTACCCAGTTTTCCGTGTGTAGGGTGGCTGGTGGATTTGAACCACCAACCTTCTGGTTAGCAGGCAAATGTTTTAGGCACTATACCACCAGAGCTCCTCAATTGCCCTGTACTCTTCAAATTTCAATTTTATATTAAGAAAGGCAAGGAAAGACTTAGGGACTATCCCAGATAAAGGAGAATAAAGAAAGATAACAACTGAATGCAAACTATGATTCTGGACGGGATCCTGGACTAGAAAAAAATATTGCCATAAAGGACATGAATGGGAAAATTTCATAAAATTTTAATATAAGTTGTAGATTAGATAATAGTCTCATATCAATATGAATTTCCTGATTGTGGTTGTATAAGGGAATGACCTTAGAAAATACATCCTGAGGAAATTAAGGGTAGAGGAGCATCACATCTTCATATCTGCAACTTATTCTCAGATGATTCAGGGAAATAAATAAGTAGACAGATAGAGAACATATATGAATGTACCACCTGTCTGTCACTTTTCCATACTGTGGTGGCTTGCATATTGCTATAGTGCTATACCACCAATACTTCAAATATCAGCATGGTGAAGAGTTTTCAGCAGAGCTTCAGACTAAGACAGACTACGGAGAAAGGCTTGGTGACCTACTTCCAAAAATTAGCCAATAAAACTTTATGGATCACAACAGAATATGATCTGATACAGTGCTACAAAATGAACTCCTATGTTAGAAGGTGCTACACAGTAACCAGAACAATGAACTCAAACATAACAACATGAAGATGATGCAAGACTGGGCACCAAAGCTTGCGAGTGGCCGTCTAAGATGCAACGATGGGTCTCTCCTCATCCAGACCAAAGAAGAAGAAAACCAAAACACATGGAAGCAATTAGGCCAAGGGACTAGTAGACCACGCGATCCTCAGCCTGTATGACCATGAGACCAGAAGAACTAGATGGTGCCCAGCTGTCAACCACTCAGAAAGGGGTCAGTGCAGGAGATCTGGATAGAGTAGGAGAACAATGTGCAACAAAACTCAAAATCATTAAAAAAAAAAAAAGACCAGGTTTACTGGTCTGATAGAGCCTGGTGAGACAAGACTATGGTCACTAGTTACCCATTAGGTCTGGAACTGAACTCACTCTAGTGGCTTCCAGCCAAACAATAGACAGGCGTAGGAAGTGAACATTTACATCAGGTAGATACACTCTTTAGGGTGATCAATCATGGGAGAACAGAAGGGCAATATTTGCATGAGGAGATAGCTCAGAGGCAGGAATGCATAGGAAAGAAGGACACAGGGCAGAGGTAACTACAGGGAAGAAGTGGGCTGTTACATTGTGGGGAGTTGCAGTCAATGTCATGAAATAAAATATGTATGAACTGCTGTACAGAAAATGAATTTGCTCTGTAAACTTTCACTCAGATCACAATAAAAATTAAAAAAAAAAAAAAAGACTAGGCAACGTTTATTCTGTTATACGTGGAATCATCATGAGTCAGAGCCAACACCACATCAACTAACAACATGTGAGTGTATATGTGTTAATGTGTTTATGTAGAGAGGACATGTGTATTACATGTACTTACATAATAAATAGAGAGAAGGCTAAAGCAAATAAGCCACAATGCCAACAAATGGAGAACCTTCATGAAAGGGATACTTCTTTGTACTATTTGCAATAGTTCGTAAGTTTGAAATTATGTCAAAATTAAAGTTTTTTGTTGTTGTTATTTTTAATATGAGGAAACCGAGGCCCAGGACAGTGAAAGGCTTGTGCAGGTGTGCAAAGCTGAGAAATGAGCTTAGAGCCATTGGACTATAGAGCTGGTGTCCATGTGAAGTGGCTTTGCAGTTCTTGCATCCAGGACCCCACCCTACTGCAGGGACCCCACCCTTAGGCCCCCATTTGCCTTTCCCTGGGCTCTGGCAGTGCCCAGCACCACCCTGGCCACTTACGCTTGACCACCACGCTGACGGGGCCCGAGCGCTCACTGCCCTGGGCATTCTGCACCTCGCAGATGTAGAAGCCAGTGTCAGCCCTGGTGGCCGGATGCAGCTGGAGGGTGCGGGTGTGGGCGTCCTTCAACAGGAGCTGGTTCTTGTACCAGCTGTAGTGGATCTCGCTCTGTGCCCCACTGGGCGTGTTGCAGGTCAGTGTCACTGTCTGGTTTTCCAGGATGGGACCTGCTGGGCTCACCTGGACCTCAGCCACTGTATGAGCATCAGGGGGCAGGGGTTAGTGCTGGAGAACTAACTATCGAACTTCCAGCTCCAACCCCTCAGAGCCCCTGGGGCTACAGCCCATCAACCTGAATCTGAACAGTCTGCACCACACCCCTCTGCACTGAAGTCCCTGGTTGGTTCTACACCTCTGTCCTGTTCCCTGGGATCCTCCACTAAACCCCATGGCCGTCTACCTGCAGAGCTGTGGGCCTCTTTATTCTCCATGGGGCCCTGGCTTGCTGGGGCAGGGTGTGGACTCCTTTCTCCACACCAGTATTCCATGAGGCCCTGAGCTCTGCCTGCCTCTGGCTGTGCCCTGGCCTGGTTCCTCTCAGCCCAGCGGCCTGAATCCCTCCCTGCTCTCTGACCAAGACCCAGTCTCATCAGGACTCACTGAAAACATGGAGGCTGATGGGGGTTGAGATGGCAGAACCCATGACATTCTCAACTTGGCAGGTATAGATGCCAGCATCAGCCCAGGTGGCCTGGGGCAACCGCAACACACGACTCTTGGCTTCGAGGGGCACACCATCCTTGACCCACTGCACAGACTTGACCTCTGGGTAGCTGCTATTCACCTGGCAGATGAGCGTGACCGGTTCACCTGGGAGGATGTTCTGCCCTGAGGGGCTGAGGAGGATCTCCACTCCCCTGGGGGCATCTGCAAGGCAGGGTGGAGGTACAGGGTAAGGGGAAAGGGGAGGGCAAAGGTGGCATATGTCTCCTCCTCTTACTCACACCTCTCCTCCCTTTCAAACTCCTTCCTAAGGCCCCACTCAGATAAAACATCAGTCCCATGAGTTACCCTGTCCAAGGCAGGCTCTGTTATCCCCAACCCCCACCTA